TACAGGTTTTCTTTCCCTCTGGTTTCCATGGAGTTGGCTGATGAGAGAGAGGGAAGTGCCTGCGTCCTTCCCCTTCTGGTAGCCACTCCACACAGCTCTGTCTCCAAAGCCAAGGCATGGAAACAGCCCCTGGCTGTTACTAACCCAGATTGTCTTCTTCGTTTCCTTTTCTTTTTTCTTTTTTTTTTTTAAGTTTATTTATTTATTTAAGTAATCTCCACACCCACTGTGCGGCTCAAACTCAACCCCGAGATCAAGGGTCATGGGCTCCTCTGGCTGAGCCAGTTAAGGGGGGGCCTCCCGACACCTTTATAACCCAACTCTTTATCAAGCTCTCATTAGTCACTTCGTGTGAGCACACGATCTCTTTCCTCCCAGCACTCAACCCCTAACCAATCCCTACCTCATACTTTAAATTCCATCTCTGTGCTGGTGTCTCTCAAATTTATATCTCCATCTCTAACTTCTCCTCTGGGTTTTGGACTCCTCTCCAACACTCTTAGTGTAGTAGGTGTCAAACTGAACACTTTTAAAAAACTGAACTCTCAGATCCCCCCAGGTCTCCTCACTATGTGTGGCAACTTATACAGTTTGTTTTTCATGCCCCAAACCTGGGAATCTACCTCAACCTCTCTCGGCCCTGCTCCAATCCATCCATATGTTGGATTGCTATTGGATCTGCAGGCTCTGCCCCCAAAACATATTCTGAATTTGTCCACTTCTCTCCACCCTTACTTATCCCAGCCACTTCAGCGTCCCTCCAATGGCTCCCCATCACACTCAGAAGAAAAATCCAAATTCTCTCCTCTGACCCAGAAGGCCCTGCCCACTTCTCAGATCTCATCTTCTGACACTCTCTCCCTCACTCCTCCATTCCAGCCTTTGTGCTTCCCTCAAACCTCCCCCCAACCAAGTGCACTCCTACCTCAGGGCCTTTGCACTTACTTGCCTTTTTCTCTGCTTGGAATGGCTCATCACATGGCTGGCTTCTGCTATGCGGGTCTTGACTCAAATATCACTTCTTTAGACAAATAGTCCCTGATCACCAAGCCTGCATCACACACAGCCCTTCTCCATAACCCTAACCCTGCTATTCTTTTTTTTTTTTAATTATTTATTTGACAGACAGAGATCTCAAGTAGGGGGAGAGGCAGGTAGAAAGAGAGAGAGAGAGGAGGAAGCAGACTCCCTGATGAGCAGACAGCCCAATGCGGGGCTTGATCTCAGGACCCTGGGATCATGACCTGAGCTGAAGGCAGAGGCTTTAACCCACTGAGTCACCCAGGCGCCCCTAACCCTGCTGCTCTATACTCACCTTATACAGCAATGATCATTAATTGCCTTTATTTGTATATTATCTCTCTCCTCCCCACCACCGAAAGTGAGTTCTTACAGCATTTTCTGTTTGATCACCCCTAGACCCAACTACCCCATGCCTAGAACAGTGGCTGATACAAAACAGTTGCTTAAGAATTATTTAATGATACGCACGAGGTGTCTACCCCAGTGCTGGGAATAAAGAAACAAATCAGACTTGGAAGGTGCAGTTGAGTTTGGGAGACAGACACAATGGTAAATAGAACAATCTTGTTTCATTGTGGAATACGGGACAAAAATACAAAGGGAAGTCCACATACCATACATCTCAATATTTAACAGTTATAACATTAAATTACAAACAATTAAATGAAGTATATTCTCAGAGCACCTGAGTGGCGTGGTCAGTTGAGCCTCCAACTCTTGATTTTGGCTCAGGTCATGATTTCAGAGTCGTGAGATCAAGCCCCACGTCGGCCTCTGTGCTCAGTGAGGAGACTGCTTGGGATTCTCTCTCTCTCCCTCTGCCCCTCCCACTTGTGTGCATTCTCTCTCTCTCTCAAATAAATAAATAGATCTCTTTAAAAGATACATTCTCAGGGCGCCTGGGTGGCTCAGTGGGTTAAAGCCTCTGCCTTCGGCTCAGGTCATGATCCCAGGGTTCTGGGATCGAGCCCCGCATCGGGCTCTCTGCTCAGCAGGGAGCCTGCTTCCTCCTCTCTCTCTCTGCCTGCTTGTGATCTCTATCAAATAAATAAATAAAATCTTTAAAAAAATAAAAAATAAAAGATACATTCTCGGGGCACCTGGGTGGCTTAGTCATTAAGCATCTACCTTTGGCTCAGGTCATGATCCCAGGGTCCTGGGATCGAGCCCCACATTGGGCTCCTTGCTCAGCAGGAAGCCTGCTTCTCTCCCTCTCCCACTCCCCCTGCTTGTATTCCCTCTCTCACTGTCTCTCTCTCTCTGTCAAATAAATAAATAAAATATTTTTTTTTAAGATACATTCTCTCTTCCAAAAGGCAGAAACAACCCACGTCAATCAACAAATGAATAGATAATATGGGGGGTAGCTCCCCAAAATGGAATATTATTCGGGGGTGCCTGACTCACTCAGTTAGTAGAGCATGTGATTATTTATTTATTTGTCAGAGAGAGGGAGAGCACAAGTAGGGGGAGAGGCAGACAGAGGGAGAAGCAGGCTCCTTGCCAAACAAGGAGCTGGATGTGGGACTCAATCCCAAGACCCTGGGATCTTGACCGAACCAAAGGCAGACGCCCAACGGACTCAGCCACCCAAGCGTCCCAAGCTTGCGACTCTTGATCTCAGGGTTGTGAGTTCAAGCCCCGTGTTGGGTGTAGAGATGACTTAAAAAAATAAAATCTTGGGGCGCCTGGGTGGCTCAGTGGGTTAAAGCCTCTGCCTTTGGTTCAGGTCATGATCTCAGAGTCCTGGGATCAAGCCCCACATCGGGCTCTCTGCTCAGCAGGGAGCCTGCTTCCTCCTCTCTCTCTGCCTGCCTCTCTGCCTACTAGTAATCTCTGTCTGTCAAATAAATAAATAAAATCTTTAAAAAATAATAAAATCTTAAAGAAAAAAAGGAATATTATTCAGCCATAAAAAGAATGAAACACTGACACATACTACATTGTGGATGGATCTTAAAAACATTATGCTGAGTTGGAGCACCTGGGTGGCTCAGTTGGTTGAGCATCTGCCTTCAGCTCAGGTCGTGATCCCAATCCTGTGTCCTGGGATTGAGTTCCACATTGGGCTTCCTGCTCAGCGGGAAGTCTGCTTCTCCCTCTCCCTCAGCCCCTCCCCCTGCTCCTGCTCTCTCTGGCTCCCCCCGCCCTCAAATAAATCTTAAAAAAAAAAAAAAAAGCATTGTGCTGAGTGAAAGAAATCAGACATACAAAATACCACATAGTATATGATTCCATTTATATGAAATGTCCAGAATAGGTAAATCTACGGGGACAGATTGGTGGTTGCCAGGGCCTGGGGGAAAGGGAATCAGAAGAGACCGTGAATGGGCATGGGGTCTCCTTCCAGGATGATGGAGATGTTCTGGCCCCAGAAGGGATGACTGCACAACACCGTGAGGGTACTAAATGCCACTAATGGTAAATTTCATATGTATTTTACCATAATTAAAAGCCAATTTAAAAAGTGTGTTCTCTCCTCCTATCATGGCAAATGTACTTTCAGAATGACTTAGAAGGCCAGGTTCAAATGAAAACATTTTGAATCCCTAGGAGTCTTGTACTAGATCATGGGGCGCTGGGAAACCCCAGCTCTCAGTCTGGCCCCCTTGACTTCCTGACTTCAACTCTCTTCTGCATAGCAAAGAGCCTTGTGCCTGCACCTGGGGACCCTGTGCACCCTGTCTAAGCTTGACTTTCACCCCTCTGCCAATGCTGCCCTTGATGACTTGTCAGGCTGGAGGTAGGGGTAAGGGGCACCCTGGCTGCATGGACAGCATTCGAGAGGCAGAGGCCTTATTGATGAGCTCAGGACCATTTGGACAGGGAATTCTGGGGTCTGAGTACCCCAAGTAAGATGTAAAAGAGGGAGGGGGGAGTTAGGTAGACACATTCCCTTTGTCATATGGGGAAGGTCCAAGCTGGGGCAAGGTCCTTTCTCACTGAGGCTCATGTCAAATTGCACAGCAGAGGGGGGCACCTGGGTGGCTCAGTCAGTTAAGCATCTGCCTTGGGCTCCTGGGATCTTAAAAACATTATGCTGAGTTGGGACGCTTGGGTGGCTCAGTCGGTTGAGCATCTGCCTTCAGCTCAGGTCGTGATCCTAATCCTGTGTCCTGGGTTTGAGTCCCACATTGGGCTCCCTGCTCAGTGGGAAGCCTGCTTCTCCCTCTCCCACGCCTCCTGCTTATATTCCCTCTCTCACTGTGTCCGCTGTGTCCGTCTCTGTCAAATAAATTAATAAAATCTTTAAAAAAAAATTGTACCGCAGGACCAGGACTGTGATGGGGGAAGGACTGGGAAATGAGTCTGGAAAGTAGGAGATGATTTCCCCAAATGGAAAAGGGTAAACGAGGCATGCTGTTTCCTGAGAAACGGGGTGCTGGCCCTTTAAGAAGAGGATAGGTAGGATAGAACAGGAAACCTGAAGATTTGTGTAGGAAGTGTTCTGGACCTTTCTCACCACTGCTCTACCCCTAACTCTTATAACCTCTAAGGGGTGTCAGGGTCCTGGAGGCCACTTGGTCTAATTCTCCAGTTTCACAAAGGACAAACCACGTCCTAGAAACCTGGGGCAAGTCAACCACAGCTATCCAGGGGCCAGGCCTGCTGGTTCCCATAGTGCTCAGCCTCTGGTCTCCAGAAACCCTTAGCCGGATCATTCCCTCCCTCCCCACCCGAGCCAGGGTCCAAGAAGGAGCGATTAGTCATTTATAAGAGTATCCCACATGTGTGATGTGCCACGTTGGTGACCCTTGGTGGGCAGCTGGACTTAAGGCATCTGGGGTGCCAGGGACAGTTGCCATCCTCTGGAGGGGGTAAGTGACTCCCCATTCTCACCCACACCCTGCACCATACATGTGAGAGGGTGTTTGCTACGAGCCAGCCAAGTGCAGCAAGGAGGCCAGTGGCTGGTAAATAATTTATCAGGACAGCTGATAGTACCTCCCCAGAACTGCCCGCCAGCCCCCAGCCCCCCTCGCACCTCGTGCTTGTGTTTCCTGCCTCCTGGCCCAAACCAGCTGGACCAGCTCTCCCAGTGCCCTCCTGCAGCCCCCCCTTCCCACCAGCCAAGTCACAGCATCCAGGGACCTTCAGGCAAACGGGTGGTGGGTCCTGATCCTGGAGACCTGAAGGTGGGCTTCTGGGCAGAGATGGCCCTGCAGAGCCAGATGTGGTCTCCAGCCACACCCATGTAAGTGTCCGGGGTCAGGGGTGGGGGTGGCTGGTGGGCAGGGCCTGAGAGGGGTTCTTTGGAGGACACTGGCCTTTCCGGCAGGGTGGGGGTAGGTGAGAGCTCCAGCCTGGCCTTTCTAAGGGCCCTAGGGGGAATGGAGAGAGGCGGCCAAACCTGCAGGCTCTTCATGTCCCCCTCTGCAGAGAGTCAGGTGGGAAATGTGGACCCCCCACCTCCTTTTTTCAGAGATTTTCTGCAGGCAGTCTTCAAGCTCAAAGTCCAGCCTGAGGGTGGGGCTATCACTGAGGGGGACAGTGGCTGGAAATACCAGGGTCCCTCACTCCCATGTTCTGCCTCGAGAAACATCCCTCAGTGTCCCGGGTGGGAAGAATTGCTTGAGATATAACAGAAAAAGTTAACAGCTCCTAAACTGGGAAAGATGATGGCAAAATCGGAACCTTAGTTCCTTAGTGAAATGGCCACCAGCTGTTCCTGGTGACAAAAAGCCACGGCCACAAACACTGTTCTTGTAGAGTTGGAGATGAACACTATCAAACGGGGTGCGCAGAGGATTTTAATATTCAAGGTTTGAGGGCATTTTAAAGTAAGAAGGGGGAGGGGCTCCAGAGGTTTGTAAAGAGTTCTGGGTAAGTGTTTCCCCCCAGGGACCCCAATTTGGTTGCTCACTCTTTTGGGTCCCCCGTTGCATTATTCACCAACTACAAACCTGGTTGCTTAGCAATGGGAACCTGATCTCCACACACCTCCCCCCCCCAGCAAGGAAGAGGCAGGGAGATTACATCTTGGGAATGGGACAGCAGAGGGGGAAAGTTTAGCCCTCCCCCAAGGGCAAACTTATTAGCAGGGGGCCTGGGCTCCCTTTGGGATACCCTATTAAGCATGACATTAGCCCCCTAGGTCAACTGAAATCGGGAACCCCCAGGCTGATCTCTGGCCTCGTGGCCGCCAAGAAGAGGGTGCCTAGACCCCTCTTACCTGCAGTGTTCCCAGTGTTTTGGGCCTGAGACCCCTGAGTTCTGATCGCCTGACTCAGTGATCTTAGATGAGTCTTTTCACCACTTCTTGGAGCCTCAGTTTCCCCATCCATAAAATAGGGACAATGGTACTATTGCCTCCCAGGATCACTGGGAAGATTAAATGAATTGCTAGAGGCAAAGCATTTAACAGCACCTGGCACACCGTACATGCTGGCTAATCATGGTTGGCTGGTTTTATTCTCAGAATAGCAACTCAGCGAAGAGTGGACTAGTGTCTCAAGATCAGGGCAGGGAGGGAGAGGCAGAGGTGACTGTGGGAGTCTATCAGAAACCCTCTAGAACTCTTAGAGCACTATAGGTAGTAAGCCCTGTATTATTATGTCTTCATGGTGTGGCCAGGGAGGATTTGGGAGGCCCCAGCAGAGTTTGGGCAATGTGGCTAATGCTCACCCAATAGAGTTAGTGCTCAAATTAATAAATGTTTGAGGGCTTGTCCTGTGCCGTCCTCCCAGGGCTAAATATCAGGGACAACAGGTAAATAGATCCTTCCAGATATTGTCCTGTGAAGCCCATTCACATAGCAGGCACTTAACGCACATCTGTGTATAGGTTCATGTGACAATGACTGTCCCACAGAAGGGGTGGCTCTGTAGGCTGGGAAGCAGGAATCCTGGGGTCCTGCATGGAGGTCAGTAATGGGGTGAGCTCAGGTTAAACCTTAAACACCAAGACCCCTCTGCCTCCTCCCAGCTCAGAGTCCAAAGCTAGGCTACATGACCTGGTAACCTTTGCTCCCAGGGAGGGGAGTTGGCAGGTAGCTCCAGAGTTACCATGGCAATGGCATGTGTCCACCTTAGGATGGACACTTTTCTCCCCAGATTCCCTCATCCCCCAGGGCTGAAGGTATCTTGGGTAGGAGCCGAGAGGTCTGGAGAGGGTGTGGAATTGGAAAGAGACACACAGCATGTTAGGGGCCTGGCAGGATTTGAGAGTGTCTGTAGGACAGCCTGGGGCTGGTTCTTATAATTAATCATAAACATTATTAATCACGGGAATTACTAACATTATTAATAATAAATGACACTACTGTTTTTCGAACACTATGTCCTGTTTTTTCCTGCATGGATATTTCCTTGCAAGGGCGCCTCTCTGCAAGGTGAGAATCAAGCTATCCCAGCCTATTTTACAGATGAGGAAACTGAGGCTCAGAGAGGAGATGTCAGGCCTAGGAAGAGCGTTAGCTTAACTTGTCATGGTCTCTGCTCTCCCCCCACCCTCCAAAGAACCCCTGAGCTCTCCCCCAACACCTTTCAGTTGCAAAGGGGAAATAGAGGAAAATGCCGGGCTTCAGGGCTTCGGTTGGTTTCCAAGCAGCTCAGGGATCTTGGCTCAGAGAGGGGCATTCATGAGGTGGCCAGATGCGGGCCTGGCCCTGGGAGACCCCCTCCGCAGTCTCTGCCTTTTTCCCACAGGCCCATGGCCGAGAGCTCCCTCTACCGGCAGCGGCTAGAGGTCATCGCTGTAAGTGAAGCCCTCCTACCGCACTCCACCCGGCGTCCTGGGCCCTCCTACTCTTGTCCCAGGTCTCTTCCTCAACTCTCTCTCAATCCGGGAAGCAGGCTTGACGCTGTGAAGTGTGTGTACGTGGGGGGGGGGGGGGAACGGGAAGGCACCCTCAGCTCCAGCCCTGCCCAGGGCACCCCACCTAAATCCTCAGGCCCCTCTGCTCCCTAGCTCGTCTATCTGGCCACCACCACCCCCAGAATGGTGAGGCTGTGTACCCCACACTCCCAGAATCCACATCCGATGCTCCATTTTGAACCCCTGTCTCCCAAACACCCCATGTCTGAACCCCATCTCTTAGACCCTCATCTCTGGATCCTCATCTCTCTAGATCCCATCCCTGTGAACCCCCATCTTATTAATCCCTATGTCTCTGATCTCCCCCTTCTGCACCTCATCTTTCTGGACCCCATCTCTACACCCCGGTCTCTCTGAACCCCCATCCTTCTGACACCCATATCTGTACCCCATCCTTCTGAACCCCCATCCCACTAACTCCCATCTCTCAGCCCTCGATTTCTGCATTTCCATCTCTCCGGACCCCATCTCTACGCCCCAGTCTCTCTGGCCACTCACGACGCCCCCCCCCCGCCCCCCCCCCCCCCATCGCACTAGTCCCCTCCCTCTGATATCCATATATGGACCCCCATTTCTCCGAACCCCTCTCTCTGTAACTCCATATCTCGGACCCTCACAGCCCGGTCCCCCTTGGAGATCTCCATTCCAAAGCCCCGTCCCCACCGCCTTCCACAGACCCCCATTCCGCGCGGGCGAGGCCTCCGCAGCATCCCGGGCGCGGCCGGCCCCGCCCCCGCCGCCCCGCCCCCACCCGCTGCTGAGTCAGCGCCTCCGCAGCCCCCTCCCCGCCCGGGGCCCCGACGTGCGCTCCGCAGCCCCGCCCGGCTCGCAGCCCGGGAGCCCCGGGAACCCCCGCGAGCCCCGCGGAGGAGGGAAGGCGGAAAGGGAGGCTGCAGCCCCGCCCGGCCCGCGGGCAGCTCCCGGTCCTCTGTGCGCAGGAGAAGCGGCGGCTGCAGGAGGAGATCCGCGCCGCGCGGCGGGAGCTGGAAGAGGAGAAACTCCGCGTGGAGCGGCTCAAGGTTGGGGGCGGGCAGGGGCGCCTGTCTAGCCTGGGCAATGAAGTGGGGGTGCCTATGAGAGTCAGTTTTGGGGGAATCATAGGAGCCTGTGTCCAATTTGGGGGAACAATTGGGGGCATGGGTTCCAGCTTTGGGGGGGGGGGCAGTTTTCCTCAGCCTGGGAGGATAGGTGGAGGTGGTGGTGATGGGGACATTTGTACCACCTTTGGGGGCAGAGTATGGGAACAGTGAAGGTGTTTGCCCATCTTGGGTATAGGGAGGGGCCAAAAGCGATTTCACCTCTGGGGGCTCCTGTCCCATGCTGGAAGGGGTGGGGAGATGATGGGTGTTTTGTTCTAGGCTGGAAGAGCTGTGGGCTGGTAGTGGGGGTGTCTGTCCCACCTGGCAATATTGGGGGTGCACAGTGAAGGCATGTATCATATCCCACCCTAAGGAGAAATGTCTGCCCCATTCCGGGTGGTTTTGGGCAATAAGAAATCTTTCCAGCTCCGGGGATTAGGAGGGTACCCGACATGGGGTGGGGTAGTCATTATGCACAGCTACCTTCCCATGCCCAGAGGAAGTCTCTCCGGGAGCGCTGGCTAATGGACGGGGCAGCTGAGGGGACGGAGCGGCCGAAGGACGCCACCTCGAAAGACCCCCAGTCGCCCGAGGGCCAGGCTCAGGCCCGAATCCGGAACTTGGAAGATAGCTTGTTCACGTGAGTCAAGCCCCTGCCAGCCTGGCTAGGCCAGGTCCCCAAGTCCACCCCAAGAAAGCAGCAAAGGGGGGGGGGGGGGAGGGGCATTGAGCCTGGGGTCCTGGCTCCCAGCAGCTCCTCTCTTCCTCAGACTCCAGTCCCAGCTGCAGCTGCTGCAGAGTGCGTCCACAGGTGCCCAGCACAAGCCCTCAGGGAGGCCCACCTGGCGAAGACAGGTGAGGGGCTGGGGAGCCAATGGGTGGGGGGGAGGCAGCCAGCAGGGACAAAAGCATGATTTCTCCAAGGGCAGTTTAACCACTGAGTCCTCTGCTATTGCTCAGCTCTGTGGTCTTGGACAAGTCGCATTCCTTGCTCCAGCCTCAGTTTCCCTATGTCCAAAATGAGAACAGCAGCAGCACAGGGTGGGCAGAGGTGAGGGGGTGGGTCAAGAAGATCATGGCTTCGCACCAGAAACAGGCCCGAGGAAGAATTCTGCCATAGGATTGCTCTTATGGCCAGAAGGAGGAATGTGGTGGGAAAAAGCCGGGGGGCGGGGATGTCAGTGCTCATGGAATGTGGCCTCAGAGTGGGAAGTGGGTCACCATGAGATACTCTTGTGATCGGAGACATCCACATGGGCTTTTGTTTTAGCAGCACTTTTATTAAGATACGGCCTGCATGCTACGCAACACACAGGCTTTTGACAACCTTACATTAAAATCTGGCTCTCTGGGTTGTCCCCAAAGTCCAAAAATCTGCCAACATTTGTGCCCGGCCATAGGGAAGAGCAGGAGCCACAACCCCTGGTCTCCCTGGTGCCTTAGCTTAGCTCCCAGGTGCCCGTTTGAGGGCACAGAGGGAGAAGCAGACTTGTTTACGGATGTGGGAAGCAGCACTTGTTGGGTTTTAAGCATTGGCTGGGAGTTCCTTGCCAGAGAGGCGCAAGGAAGGATTCCTGGCCCATGGGAGCTCACCATCCAAGAGTCTGTGATGGGGGGAGCCCTGCAGGGGAGGAGCATGGAGGAATCACCTGAGTGAGGTTGGGGGTTCAGGGAAGGCTTCCTGGAGGCAGTGCCATATATATTGAATCTGAGTGGGAACCAGGCAAGAGTGGAAAGGGAATTCCAGGCAGAGGAAACAGCCCACATAAAGGCCTGGAGGCTGGAAAGGGAATAAGTTCGGAGAACTATGAGGAGATCCCTGGGGCTTGGCTGCCCCTCCACTCCCCTCCCTGAGCCCACTTTCATACTTTCGCACTGTCCCTCCCACCCCAGCCCCACTCCAGCTATGCTGAGCCTCTTTTCTAGTCCTTGAACTTATGTAGCTCATTGCAGCCCCAGGGCTTTTGCACTTGCTTTCTCCTCTGCTTGGAATGCCCTTATGTACCTCTTGACTCAAGGCTGGCTCCTCCTACCCTTTGGGTCTCTCTCTGTTCAGTGTCACTTCCTCAAGAGCCACTCTTCCTGCTTATTTTTTTTCTGCCATAGTCTTTCTCACTCCCTGGCATTACATATTTATTTGTGTTTTTGTTTATACCTCACCCCCCCTGGAATGTAAGTCCCCAAAGCAAAAGGCTTAAGTGTCCCTTGTCCATGGCAATCTCAGAAGGTGACAGAGTAGGTCCCTAATACAGAGCTATTGGCTCACAGACACAGTATTGATAAGCACCTACTGTGTGTGAGGCCCTGGACCAGGTGAGGAAGGCTGAGGGTTTGATCCTGAATGTGATGGCGGGGTGGGGGGTGCATTGAGGGTGCTTGAGCAGGGGAGGGTACCCGCATGCAGGGAGGCTGGAGGTGCAGACACGGGCTGGCCTGACCTTGTCTCTGCCATCCCTGCAGGGTCACCGACCTCTCTCCCAGCCTACCGTGGAGGCAGGTCCCACAGGTGGGTGCTTGTGCTCCAGGTCTGGGGGTCCCAAGAAGAGGGGCCTGAATCTGGGGGGCCAGAATCTCACTCTGTCGCCCCCCTGTCTCCTCTCTTTTCCTCCTCTCACTCCCCAAGACCATGCTGATCTGAACAAGAGAGCCTCCCTACCAGCTGGACCAGTGGACACATCTCCAGAGTCCCCCTCGGAAGCCAGAGATGAGGCTGTCAGGGCTCCGTCAGCCCTCAGGCTGTTCCCTGCCGGGGCCTCCTCAGAAGCCAATGGCCCCTGCCCTGGACCCAGCCCCCCTCCAGAGCAGGAGCCTAGTCAGGCACTGGCAGCATCCAAGGGGGGCGTGGACGAGGCCAAAGGGGGTTTGGTGAAAGTGGTATGGGAGGGGCTGAGGGCCACGGAGGACTGTGCCACGGCGGCCACGGGCCCAGAGCTAGAGGCTAAGGTAGAGGAGATGGTGCTGGAGGCCATTGGACACAGGCAGGAAGCTAGCTGCCCAGAGCTCCCATCCTGGGTGAAGGAGGACAGGGGAATCGTGGAGGTGGTCTGGGAGGGGGTGGGAGGGCCAGACAGTGGGGACTCAGAGGCCACAGGGGAGCTGGGCAGGGGACGGAAGGCTGTGCAGGCCAGCTCACCGAGGCTTCAGGTGAGACTAGAAGGAGCAGCTCCTGGAGAAGGAGGTGTTCCCAGGGGCAGCCCTGACGGTGATGGGCCAGGGGGCTCTGGAGGAGAGGAGGGGTCTTTCATTTGGGTGGAGAGGGTGACCCTCAGCGAGGACTGGGAGGAGCTGGGGGTGGAGGGATTGGAAGGGCCCAGGATGTGGGGAAAGGGGGGAGGACCTGAGAGTCCACTGGGGGCAGAGAGGGGGGCAGGGGAGGAAGCCAGGGAGGCAGGGAGCGGCCAAGCAGAGGAACCAGTGGGCAGAGGAAAGAAGTGGAGTGAGGAGAAGGTAGGGACAGAGGAGGAAGGAGCAGACATGTCTCTGATGGCGGACAGGGAAGGAAGCAAGGACTCCTTGGAAGCAGAGAGGAGGCGGGGTGAGGACAAGCTGGGGACAGAAAGGGAAGCAGCTGAGGAACTGTTGTCAGTAGCAAGAGAGGCAGTTGAGGGACCTTTGAGGGCAGAGAGGGAAAGAGGCGAGGAGCCACTGCAAGTAGAGCTGAAAAGTGCAGAAGAGCCAGAGGCAGAGAAGGAAGATGAAGAACCGTTGGGAGTAGAGCAGAAAGGAGATGAGGAAAAGCTAGAGGTGATTGAAGAACCAGGGGCGTTAGAAAGAAAGGAAGGCGAGGAGTCACCGATGGTAGAGAGAACAGGAGGTGAGGCTCCATTGGAGGCCGAGAAAGGGGGAGGTGAGGCGCCACTGGAGGGTGAGAAAGGAGGAGGTGAGGAGTCACTGACGGTAGAGAGAACAGGAGGTGAGGCGCCATTGGAGGCTGAGAAAACCGAAGCGGTCAAGGAAGATCTGAGTCTGGAAGAGCAGAGAGAGTCTGAGGGCGGACAGGAATGTCAGGCAGAGGAGGGGAGTGAGGCAGGGGCTCCCGTGGGGGCCAAGGAAGAGTCAAGGCCAGAAGAGGAAGATCCAAAGCCCCAGGAGAAGCAGGAAGGCTCCCTGGAGGAGGGATCTGTAAGGCCCCAAACCCCTGCTGAGGGCCAGGGCCTCTCGGGGGACGCCACCCCCCTCCTGGCAGAGACCCCAGCCCCAGAGCAGCCTGCCGAGTGCCAGCCACTGCTTCGGGCGCAAGGGCCTCGGGCCAACCCCAGTGCCCGGCCTGTGCCCACCTATGCACCTGCCCGGCAGCCCGAGCCGTCTGCCCCTCCCGAGGGCGAAGAGGCAAGTGGTCCTAAGCAAAAGACGTGCCAGTGTTGTGCGGTCATGTGAGCCCATGCCCTCCACCCCACGTCCGGCTCCTCTCACAGCTACCTCGGCCTCTCGGCATCCAGCAGCGGGTCCCCAGCGCAGACAGGGCGCCACCGGGCTGGCTGGGCCACCTGGGAGCCAGCTGGCCCACACGTCACCTCCTCCCAGGCTTCTGGACGCTTCCCACTGCCTGTGACCCTGGCCCCCTTATACGACAAAGCCTTTATACTTGAAAATAAAACGTTCAAGCATCCGGACAGTCTGAGCGTGTGTGCTCTTGGCACGGATCCCCCTCACCACCTCCCGGTGGGAGAGCAAGGGCTTCACTCCCGCTGGCGTCCGAGAGTCGGTGTGAGCAGACGTGGCTGCCGGACACAGCACCCCAGCTACGGGAGCGACAAAAATGTACAAGGGTGTTTCTCTGGGTGGCTTGGAGTCACACAGTCACTTGGGAACGGAGGTTCCTTCCCCTTCATGCTCCGCCTTCTCCGGTACAATTAAGGCTGGATGGCGGGCACGCCGGTGTTCCAGCTCATGGGCAAGGGTAAGTGCGGAAGAGCCCAGACCCTTCTGGGCCTCGTCTGGGCATCAGCCCGAGGCACTCCTGCCCACAGTCCATTCGGCGGGAACTCCATCCGGGGCTGCATATGGCTGCAGGTGGGGCAGCAGGGACGCCCAGCTGTGGTTTCTGTTAATAGCAGCAGGACAGATCTGGGGAGGCAGCTGCCACTCGATTTCATACACGTTCCTTTGCTCCCTCCTCCATCCATATACTCCCCAGAGGCCCAGGCCCTCCCTCTGTAGGGGTCCTTCAACCTGTTCTTCCTGGCTGGGTGTCCTCAGGCAGTGACTCAGCCTCTCTGAGCCTCAGTGTCTTCGTCTGTCAAATGGGCACCCCTCTCCTGGCCTGGGCTGGGTTCAGGCCAGAATTTGGGAACTGGGGGTGGGCCCAGAAGGCCCAGCTCCTCAGGGGTGGGCAGGAAGTGTTTCTCATAGCCAGAGCCCAGTTGGGTGGAGGTCTTGGGGGGCTCCATAACCGGGAGCGGCTCCATTTCCTCCACTTTCAGGATGGGCAAGTCCCTGGGGGGCTGAGCCTGAGGCACCTCCTGGGAAGAAAAGAGACAGGGACTCTGCGTCCCCATTCTCCCCGGCCTGCTCCCACCCACTCCCTGCTGACCCCCTCATTCGCCAACCTCCCAGATGGCCCAGACAAGCCAGGCTTTTTAGCTCACCTCCACGTGGGGCTGGCCACAATTGCTATTGGCCGGATCAGGAATCTTCTCCCAGACCCAGCGGGGCAGTACCTTGTGCCGAAGGTGGAGGCACCTGGCGAGCAGGTAAGAGGGCAGAGAACCTAAGTGACCTGATACCCAGGCCCAGTTTGCAGCACCCAGGAATGTCCGTAGAACCCTGAGGCATTCCCTTACTGCTTGCCCCCCACCAAAGCTTAGCTAGTATCCAACAGTCCTCCCCACCTGGGCAAAGACCCACATGTATGACAGCCTCACCTTCTAGACGTGGCCAGGCTCACACCACAGCCGGTCAGGAGCAAGCCCCACAGGAGAAAGACACCCGGCAGAACTTTCCACTTCAGGCTGTTATCTGAGGCAGAGGGGCAGAACATTTGGATACCAGGGATGGGAGAGGGATCAGGAAAGGAGCACACATGAGGCCGGGTTTGGGTGAGGAAGGCAGGTAAAGGAGTGGGGCTTATGAGTGGGTAGGGGCTAAGGGTGGGGGAGATCTTGGGGTGGGAGTGGGCCTGTGAATAAAACAGTCATGGGTGAGAGGTCAATGTCAGGGATGGTTGAAAGGGTCAGAGACACACTGCTTGATAATCCAAAGTATTTAGTAGGATCCAAATACCCCTGAGGCATCATCAGGAACCACCCCCAAGTCAAAAGGTTGCTCACTCACCCAAACCCCTATCTCCTTGAAACTGAGCAGGGCCTCTCCTATGGCAGTCCCACCCCTCCCCCCTACCTGGTAGGTGAAGGCGGAGGCTGGGACCTGGTGGCCCCTGTCCTGCGTTGGTGGATGCAGTCACCCACAGCTCACAAGGACCCCAGGGAAGGTCGGGCAGGGTGATGTTCCGGGTGCTCCTGCTCACTGAAGGACACACCCAGAGAGGTTGGGGAGGCAGTCAAGTCCTACCTCAGGGCCTTTGCATGTGCTTCCTCTGTCTGCAACACTCTCCCCAGATATCCACATTGCTCCCGCCTTCAGGTCTTTGCTCAAATTTCACCTCCTCAGTGAGGCGTTCCCTGACCATTAGAAAGTTAACTCCACAAGGGCTGTATTCCCAGCACCTAGATCAGTGGCTGGCACACAGAAAGCCCTCAAAAATGATATATATTCAAACAAAAGAAAGAATGAGCATCATATTCCCCATATGCACATTAACCCAGTGAATGGAGATTCTCCCTAGGTGGGGAGAAGCACACCTCGCAGAACTATATCTGTTTACTTATTTTTACTAAACGGTGCTTTTTTGCTTTTTAGCCAAAAGAGGAAGTAGCTTTTCGGTTTGTTGTAGGATTATGGGAGACATGAACACTGATTGGGCTCTATTGCCATAGAAAGATGTCCAAAAAAAAAAACAACAAAAAAAAGAAAGATGTTCAAGTTAAATCAGCAGGGGAAAAAAAGAAAGTTGCAAAACATCACAGTCATAAGAGATTCCGAGGCCAAACTATAGTCTTTAACACTGTCATCTATTTAAAATAATAATAATCCAGGGGCACCTGGGTGTGATTAAGCATCTGACTTTTGATTTTGGCTCAGGTCATGATCTCAGGGTCCTCAGACTGAGCTCTGCATTGGGCTCCACACTGGGCATAGAACCTGCTTAAGATTCTTTCTTCCTCACCCTCCTTTCTCCCTCTCTAAAATGATAATGATAGGGGCATCTTGGTGGCTCAGAGGGTTAAAGCCTCTGCCTTTGGCTCAGGTCATGATCCCAGGGTCCTGGGATCGAGCCCCACATTGGGCTCTCTGCTCAGTAGGGACCATGCTTCCCTCCCTCTGCCTGCCTCTCTGCCTACTTGTGATCTCTCTTTGTCAAATAAATAAATAAAATCTTTTAAAAAAATGAAATGATAATGATAATAATAAATGTATATATATTTAATAATCTAGATATGTCTAAACATTTTAATCTAAAAAATTTTAAAATGGGGCAGCTGGGTGGCTCAGTCAGTTAAGCATCAGACTTTGGCTCAGGTCATGATCTCAGGATCCTAGGATTAGGGCCCCGAGGCAGGCAGCAGGGTGTCTGCTTCTCTCCCTCTGTTCTTCCCCCCAACTCATGTACACACACACACTCTCTCAAAAAAATAAATAAAATTCTAAAAAAATAGAAAAACAAAAATTTTATTCTAATGATCCATATGTACTTTTGTAATATGCAATCATGGAAAAGTAATTATGTTAAAAAATAGGCTTTATCAGAGACAAATGCCAAAGCACTGATGTAATGAGGGGTAAAATGACACTGAAGACTCTAGAAAAAAAAGTGCAAGGGATAAAATGAAAGCAGATTGGCAGGAAGTAGTTTGTTGACATCTGTGGGCACACCAGGGTTTATTATACTAGTCTCCCTACTTTTGTGTGTGCTAGAATTTTCTATAATACAAAGTTAAAAATCTTCAAAGATAGGGCGCCTGGGTGGCTCAGTGGTTTAAAGCCTCTGCCTTCGGCTCAGGTCGTGATCCCAGGTCATGGGATCGAGGCCCGCATTGGGCTCTCTACTCAGCAGGGAGCCTGCTTCCCCCTCTCTCTCTGCCTGCCTCTCTGCCCACTTGTGATCTCTGTCCGTCAAATTAAAAAAAAAAAAAAATCAAAGAACACAACTCCTATCTCAGTGTTAATAGATACATGGAAAAATCTGGAAGCTGCATTATCAGTGTCAGCAAAATTATGAGAATGCTGTGTTTTTTTTTTTTTTTAAGATTTATATATTTATTTATTTGAGAGAGAGACAGAGCATGGTGCGGGGAGGATCCCAAGTAGGCTTCCTCCCAAGTGGGGAGCCCAACATTGGGCTTGATCCCATGACTCTGAGATCATGACCTGAGCGGAGATCAAGAGTTGGTTGTGCAACCGACTGAGCCACCCAGGTGCCCCGAGAATGCTGATATTCTCAATGACATATTCCTTTAATGTGTCAGCTATGGCAATAAGCACAGATAACTTTTGTAATTAGGAACAAAAAAGGGGAATAACAATATTTCTAAAAAGGAATTTGCGTTCGGAGTAAAAATGTAGCCTATACCCAAAGGTATGAAAAAGAAATAAAAATAATACATAATCCTGTGATCCTGTTGACATTGTGGGCAATTTGTTTGCACATTTGTGCCTCTGCTTTGCACAATGCCAGGTTTATTTTACACAAATGGAACCATCTCATGGAGTTTTGTCATCTTTTTATCTTTTTCACTTAATGAACACGACAGGCATCTTTCAATATCAATAAATATAGATCAGAGACTTCATTTTTAATGGTCAAATGACAGTCCATTATACTGATAGCCACAAGGGTTATTGTCCACTAGGGAACAGACGACATCACAAATTTTCCCAGGCTCTGAGAGGGAACCAAAGGGGCCAATCCGGGGGGATGAGGGCGGGGTAGACTGATGGCTGGGTCTTGGGGGCGGGGCTAGGAGCAGGGGGCAGGAGGCAGTGAAGCTCACCATTCATGCAGACAGTAGGCTTGGTCCCGCTCTGTACATACACAGTGTAGTGCGTGAGATGGCCCCGGAGTTGATGTCTTGGGACCTCTCCCCACGCTATGGCGGGGGTCCCTGGAGGGGCATCCTGGAGTCGCCAAAGCACCGGCCCAGCTAGGGGCACTGGGGAGAAAGCCAGTGGGTTAAGGCCAGCTAGGGTTCCAGGGGGTTCCTCATTCTCCAGCTCCACCACTTACCCAGTTCCTCTCTGAACCTCCAGACTGAGGGGGCAGGGGCCATGCCCCAAGGAGAGACTGCTGTCACTGTGATTCGGTAGGGGACCCCTCCTTCAAAATTCCCTGGTCGGTGGAGGAGAAAGACAGTTAGAGTTGGCTCTCCCTCCCCTACTCATTTTCTACTCGGTAGACGTCTTCATTTGGGTCTCCTGAAAAATTCGTTGAGATGAATATTTGAGTAACAGTAATTGTTCTGGGTGGTAACCCCACAGAACGCCAACAGGGCATCTGGGAAGTGAAATAGGGAAAGAAAGGCCGCCAGTAAATGAGAACAAGTTCCCAATGCAGGCATTGGAAGCTCAATCCCGCTGGCGACCTCTGGGAGGCAGCAGAGAGCAGATGCTGGAAAGTGAGGGGAACCAAAGAGGGAGGAAACTGGGATATTTATCCACCAACACTTAGTAATAGGTGAAGGGCTGCATCTGGGGTGACTTAATTCACCAGCACCTCCAGACTGCTTCTCAGATGGGCAAAATACTTCAGTGACCAGAGAAAGTCTTCGAGCCAGGAAAGACGGGTGCCAGAGGCTGAGAGATGCTCAAACACCAGGCTATGGGTGGGGCCTGCATACCACCCATCATGGTGGGTGAGAGTCCTGAGGTCCCTTCACAAAACTACTGCTGCTGCCTGGCCTTCCCCAAATGGGAAATTTCCAGAATCAGGGCTCCTCCTTCCTTAGGAAGGACTCTGCCCTTCTTAAATGTTTCACTCAATACATTTTCATGCTCTCCTAAGTCCTTTACACCAAGGATGGGCTCCCCAATGCCACACCCCAGCCCAGAACTCACTGTAAGCCCCAAGATCCAAGTAGCCAACAGCCCCATGGACACCTCCATTTGGATGAACATCTCCAACACAAGGTATCCAAATGGATCCCCAAAATTCTGCCCCAGGACCTCCAATCAGAACCTGCCTGCTTCTTTCCCTTCCTCAGTTCCTACCTGGTATGGCCCTCACCCCTTCCCTGGTCCATTCCCCCTGAGAGCAGGCAGAGATCACCTGTAAGCAACAGAGTCAGGGCATATCCCTCCTCTGCTCAGAACTCTCCATGGTTCCTACCTCACACAGAGCAAAAGCCCAAGTCCCTCCTGTGGCCCACCAGGCCTTGCACAATTTGCTTGTCACCTCCCCGCCCTCATCTCCTCCCCCTCCCCCGCCCCCCACTCATTCCACTCCAGCCATGCAGGCCTCCTCGCTGTTCTAATACATCAGGCACATTCCTGTCTCTGGGCCTTTGCACTGCCTGTTCCCTCTTGCTTTTCCCTCAGACTTCCTCATAGCTCCCCCTCTCGCCTCCTTCAGGTCTTGGTTCAAATGCTGCTTTTCCAGGAAGGCCTTTTCTAAAAACCTTTCTTTCTAAAATAGCAATTCTCCCTCCTTCCCTTTGCCCTGTTTTATTCTTTTTTCCCCCAATTACATTATGGATGTACTTGTTTCGTTATTGTTTGTTTCACTGGGCTGCTCACTCCTCAAGAAAGTCAGCTCCATGAGGATGGGGATGTTGCTGCGAGAGTAAGTGGTGTGATGGTTCAGGGCCTGGCTTGAGGGGCCTGAGTATGTGTTTCAAATCCTGGTTCTACCATCTAATTGCTGTGTGGCCTCGGGTCAGTTGCTTCACTTCCCTGGGCTCTTTTCTTCATCTCTACCTTGAGCAGGATAATAACAGAAACTTACTTTATAAGGAAGTTTGAATAATTTAATGCTGCTGATAAGTGCCAAGAGGCAGCAGCTGCTGTCACTGCACACAGGTGTCTAGAACATGGCCAGGCACACAGTGAGTGGTCAGTGAACACTGCTTGCAGGAATTAATGATATTTTAACCACAACACTCCCTCCTGTAGGTCCACGCATCAGTCTGCTGGACAGGAGCTGGGATGGGAACCTAGGTGTCCCACGGCCTCACCTGGCAACAGAGCACTGAGGTTCTCAGGGGGAAGCCGGATCCAGCTGAGGTCCTCCAGGGGATCCCCGTCTTGAGCCCAGTCCACCACGTGCTCCTGCAACTCCCCAGACCCCCGCTGCCAAGTCACCAGCAGCCCCGTGCTGCCGGCAATGCTGCTGACCACCACGCCTCGGGGAGCGAGATCTGGACCTAGATGGGGGTTGGAGAAGTCTCTGCTGTTCTCTCGGGAAGTCGCCGCCTCCCTCTCCAGGGCACCGCTCGGAGGAAATTCACAGCCTCTTACCCAGGCAGGCCAAAGAAAGGTTGGTAAGAGGCTCCCAGCTCGTGGCATTGATGGCAGACACCCCAACCCACTCGGCCAGGGCGGGGATGAAGGAGCTGCAGCAGGAAGCCGTCTTCTGGATCAGCTCCTGGCCTTTGGCCTGGAACCAAACTTTATAGCTCATCTGCACGCAGTGCCCTGGGTCCTGGGGAATGAGAGGAAGAAGGGGTTAGGATCTCCCATCTACCAGATCCACAACCTGTGTATCTCAGTGAGGGCCACCTCACAAACCAGTCAGTGGAATATTTCTGTTGGCTCCACTTTACAGATGAAGAAACTAAGTCTCGGGGGGCTCAGTGGCAAAGGTGACATTAGAATACAGTTCCAGGACCCACATTAGGGGGAACTGAGTAAGGCGCTTCCCTTGGATGCAAAAGTTAAAGGGGAGGTTGCCAAAAACCCAGTAATCAAGAAAAATTATATTTTAATCAATCAAAATCAAGGGCAAAGAACCCACAACAAACTAAATTTCAAGATCTGAAGTACGGACAGGATCTGACCCTGCCCTTATATGAGCCTGCCTTGCTTGCCTCATCCTAGTCTGTGTCCTGTGCAATTCTTTGGGATTTCAAAATTCCTACTGTTGTATAGAGGGAAAACTTTTGTAGATGATTATCTTGTCTAATAATGTTAACTGGTCCTAGAACCAAACTCCTTTTGATGTACTAAGACAAAATCTTTGCTGGGGGGGGACCCTGGTTTTAATGCTCACCGAATTTTTAAATATTCAGAATAGGGGCACCTGGGTGGCTCAGTGGGTTAAAGCCTCTGCCTTCGGCTCAGGTCATGAAGCCAGGGTCCTGGGATTGAGCCCTGCATCAGGGTCCTGGGATAGAGCGCCAGGGTCTCTGCTCAGCAGGGAGCCTGCTTCCCCTCCTCTCTCTCTGCCTGCCTCTCTGCCTACTTGTGATCTCTGTCTGTCAAATAAAAAAATAAAATAAAATAAAATCTTTAAAAAAAAAGGATCTCCTGTCTCAATAAATATGATCTTTTAGGGGCGCCTGGGTGGCTCAGTGGGTTAAGCCTCTGCCTTCGGCTCAGGTCATGATCTCAGGGTCCTGGGATCGAGCCCTGCATCGGGCTCTCTGCCCGACGGGGAGCCTGCTTCCCTCTCTCTCTGCCTGCCTCTCTGCCTACTTGTGATCTCTGTCTGTCAAATAAATAAATAAATAAATCTTTAAAAAAAATATGATCTTAAAAAAAAATAAATATTCAGAATACATGGGGACTTTCTAGGCAGTTTTTATGATCAATTCGCAGCACAATCTCTGTTCTTTTTTTTTTTTTTTTTTTAAGATTCTATTTATTCGACAGAGACACAGTGAGAGAGGGAACACAAGCAGGGGGAGCGGAAGAAGAAGCAGGCTTCCCGCCAAGCAGAGAGCCTGATGAGGGCTCGATCCCAGAACCCTGGGACCATGACTTGAGCCGAAGGCAGACGCTTAACGACTGAGCCACCCAGGCACGCCACAATCTGTGTTCTAATTAGAAAATTCTTTAATGTGCCCTGCATCACCTCACGCCTTTGAAATCCCTGGAACCTGGATCTATGGCCTGGAATGTGGTCAACTTTGGTAAATATCCCAATTATATATGGAAGAAAGGCATATTCTGACACTTCCTATGTAAGTCCATTAGGTTGTTCGTTAATCACCTGTTCATATAGTCTAGATCTTCACTTGTTTTCCATCTATTATGAAATCACTGATGGGGTATATTAAAATTTCCCACAACAGTTGTGGATTCATGTATTTCTCCTTGTAGTTCTGTCAATTTTTGCTATATGTATTTTAAAGCCATATTATTAGGTACATACAGATTTAGTCTTCCTCTCACATTGCTGAGCTGCATAATGGCCATATGCAGTTACTTTATTTTCCCTTTCTCTTCCACAGAATATTACAATTAGAACACTTTATTATATATTCATTAAGGCACGAGAAAAATGGGTTATCTACGTATTTCATTTCAGCATAGTGAAGGGGTGTTAACAAAGTATGTGTTATGACATAGACACTGAGGCTGTGAATTGGTGTGAGACTCAGCTCTGCCACTAACCAGTTGTGTGGTCTGAAGCAACCTCTCTGTGTCTCTCTCTCTCTCTCTTTTTTAAGATTTTATTTATTTGACAGAAAGAGAGAGAACACAAGTAGGCAGAGCAGCAGACAGAGAGAGACGGGAAGCAGGTTCCCCGCTGAGCAGGGAACCCAATGTGGGGCTCAATCCCAGGACCCTGAGATCATGACCTGAGCCGAAGGCAGAGGCTTAACCCATTGAGCCACTCAGGCACCCCAGTGTGTCTCATTTTTCTTATCTGTAAAGTCAGTTAATATAAACGAGCATGGAGGCTAGAACCTGGCACATAGTAAGAGGTCTTAAATGTGGTTAAAATTAATATTAGATTGTGAGGCCCAAGAGGGTATGGGCTCTGTTGTTTTGTTCCTTGCCATATTTACTGTGAGCCAGGGCCTAGCAATGCCTGGAACATAGCAGATGCTCAACAGATTTGGATCAATGAGGACGGCTGCATCATTGTCTATCATCTCCTAATGTCATTCTGACACTAGCATTCAAGCCCGGGCACACTGTGCTGTATTTTATGGAGCTGAGCCTAGTCTTGCTTTCAAACCTCTGCACCTGCTGTGGCCCCCTGCTTGTAACATCTGTATACACCTTCATGTCTCAGCTCAGATCTCCCAGAAGTAGCTGACATGGGTGGAGGCTAGCTCTGTGCCCAGCACTATGCCAGGGCCTCTCTGAGCATCCCCTCCTTGGAGCCTTGGAGCAATCTCAAGAAGGCGGCACTGGAACCGCCATCTTGTTTACACTGGTGTTATCTGGGGCTTTTTGATGTGTGCAGAAAGAATGGCACCGCTCTCCATAGCTCACCTTCCACAGAAGCAGGGGTTCCTGTCTGCCTGGTGTCCCACAGAGGTTCCCAGATATCCATACATCTTTTGGAGCTGTCAAGGATGAGGGAAGGGGGTACAAATGAGAGCGGCCTAGTGGTACATACTGCCAGGAGGGGAGACGAGGTTATAGGGGCAAGCCTGGAGACCCTCACCAGAGGGCAGCGTCTGGAAGGACAAAATGGGGCTCCACTCGCTCCAAAGATTCTCTTCTTTCTCCATTCGACAGTGGCCCCGCACCTCATAGCCAGTGGCCCGCTCCAGGTCCTGAATTTCAACAGGTGCCAGGGGAATGGACTTCAATTCTGGCTCCAGCTGGGGGATAGAGAGGAAAGAGCAATGAAGCCGAGGACTGAGTTGAGAGTACTTGACCCGATATGTCAGCAGACTCCAACTAGTCTGCTTTGTCCCAAACCCTAGGGTTCTCAGGACACAGGGCTTTTGTATTTGAAATTGGGACAACCCAGGACGCCTGGGTGGCTCAGTTGGTTAAGCAGGTGCCTTCGGCTCAGGTCATGATCCCAGCGTCCTGGGATCGAGTCCCACATCGGGCTCCTTGCTCTGCAGGGAGCCTGCTTCTCCCTCTGCCTCTGCCTGCCATTCTGTCTGCCTGTGCTCGCTCTCTCTCTCTCTCATAAATAAATAAAATCTTTAAAAAAAAAAAAAGAAAAGAAAAGAAAACATTTGAAATTGGGACAATCCCAGGCAAGAAGAAGAGACGAACTAGCCACCCTGTGGGTCATGTATAGGAGTAGGTAGTAAATTTTATCATTATCCCCATTTTACAGTTGAGGAAAACTGAGGCCCAGAGAGGGGAAGTGACTTGCCCAAGGTCACAAAGCAGATGAATGCTGGAGCTGAGAGTCATAATCGGGCAGTCAGATTCCAAAGCCTATATCTCAGCATTTCTCTGAATTGCATGAATAATCACAATGACAACGGTCTTCTACATGGCAAAGTTTTGCAGGAGGCAGCTGAGACTATTGGTTATCCCTAATATCCATTCTCGCCTTTTTCCTTTGGAAATGGAAGTTCTGAATATCAGCTGGAAATGCAGCTGTCAAGAGTAAGGACTCCATTTCCCAGCCTCCCTTACAATCAGGTGAGACCAGGTGACTGTGCTCTGGCCAACGTGATATGAGAGGAAATGATCCTGGTAACTTCTGGGTTGTACAAAGTATATGGGCTGGTCCCCCAACTCCTTCTGGGGTCTCCTTGCTCTAAAGTTCTCTTCCATTTTTCTTGCTGTGTGAGCTTGCTAAGGTGCTTCACTTCTCTGAGGTTGGCTCCCCCAGCTATGAAATAAAAATCTTACAAGCATCTACTATAGGGGCACCTGGCGGGCTCAGTCAGTGGAGTATGCGACTCTTGATCTTGGCGTCCTGAGTTTGAGCCCCATGTGTGAGGCAGAGCTTACTTAAAATAAACAAAAATTAACAAACAAATAAATAAATAAAAGCATCTACTATACAGGGAGGTGGGGAGGGACTCATCAAGATAATCCATGCAATTAGCTTGGGACCTGATGTATACCAGGTGCTCATAAATGTCAGCTGCCTTTATTCATTATTTTGGGGTGTTTAAACTAAACCTTGCTCCTTTGCTGTAAAATGGGTAGGTATAAAATGCACCCACTTCAAAGAGTTCTTGGAAGGGTTCCATAATTTAAAGGTTAATGTAAGCTATTGGAGAACTTCTATTCATTCACAACAATGTTTGAGGACGTTTACTGAGTTTCTTAAGAATTCCAAGTGGAATTTGGGACCGGGACTGCATGGAATTTTATATTATTTGATGGTGGGATTTTTTAGCTGAACAAGATGCACGTACAGGCCTTTTGTATGAGATGTGGACAGATCAGAAGGGCAAGTAAGGAACACGTCCTGGGCTGGGTTTCTGATTTGGGGATAATGCCATGGGCCCTGCCTGGAAGACAGTGAGGAAAAGGGGGGCCCCTGACACTCACCGGGGTCCAGGCCGTCCCCTGGCATCTTCGATAGTAGAACTGGCAGGCCATGACATTATGGGGTGGCCATACAGGTGGGGCCCAATGGACTGTGGCCTCCAGGGGCTCATCCTCTGAAAAGTCCACATCAGGGTACAGCCTGGGGGCATCTGGCTTCACTGAGGAAGGGGAGGCCAGGTGCATTAAGCAAGGACCTCAGGGACCACCCACCCACATAGTGCACACCCCCCCCATCCCACCGATTACTTCGGGTTTCCAGATTCACGAAGACTGGGGGCCAGAGAGGCTGGCCTGCCTTGGTACCCCAGACAAGCAGTTCATCAGACATGGTAAGCTGTTCCCTCGGAATGGTCACCCAGCTCTGCCCGGCAGGCACTGGCACAGTCCACGTTCTTTTGGAATGGCTGTGAGGAGAGATGTGGGGATGAGGGTGTGTGGTGTATATCAGTGTAGGGCCAGAGCCATAAGGATAACTCCTCTCCCTGGGTTCAAATCCCAGCTCTGCCACTTCAGAGCTGTGTGACCTTGAACAACTGACTTGACTTCTCTGTGCCTGTGTCCTCATCTACAAAATGAGGGTGATAGCAGTACCTGCTGAAGGGCTGGAGAGCCAGGGCAATCGATGAGACAATAAACGGAATGTGTTTAAAACCGCACTGGCTGCCCAGTACATGTCATGCGAGCATTGCTTATTGTGTTCATTGGCACCTGCTTATAAGTACGCCATTTGCCCTTACGCAACTATCCAGTCAGCAGATACATACTGACAGGCCCTCTTGTAGAAGCTGGGGACAGGGCTACGACCAAGGCGGGTGAGGACCTGCTCTCTGGAGCTGCTCTTCCTGTGTGGGAGGCAGAATCCCTAACGTATATAATGGATGATAAAGAACAATCATCAGGGAGATGAGGAATGACAGTGCTGTTTCAGGTCAGAGATCTCTCGGATGAGACTTTTGAAAAAAGGCCTGAAGGTCATGAGGGCGGAGCCATGCAGTACCTGGGGGAAAGCATTTCAGGAAAAAGCAGCCTCTGCAGGTGCAAAGACCTTGAGGTACACTCACGGCTGTGCTTGAGGAACGGCAAGGAGGAGGCCCGCATGGCAGGAGTGGAATGAGTGAGGGGGAGAGTGGGAGGAGGCGAGGGCAGCGAGGTGAAAGGCAGACTGTGCAAGGCCTAGCAGGCCACAGGAAAGACTTGGGTTTTTACCCCAGTGAGGTGGGACCCCTGGAGGGCCGGAAGCAAAGCAGAGATGTGCCCTGACGCGGATGTTCACAGGCGCCCCCTGGCGGCTGTGGCGAAGAACAGACTGTGGGCTGGAAGGTGCAGGCCAGGGGCCCCAGGAGAGAAGGTGACTGACGGCATGGCCCAGGTTAGCCATGGTGGATGGGGGCTGGACCAGGGTGGGTGCCCAGGAAGGAGATCGCGTCAGATTCTGGATAATGTAGAAGGTGGAGCTGGCAAGGCTTGCTGACAGACCAGATGCGGGTGACAGCGAGCCGTGTTTAGGATATCCTGACAGATTAGATTTCAAAAGTTCAGAACAAGGCCTTCATAAAACAGCAGTAACAACAAAAACGCAGGTGCTGGTGAAGATGCGGAGAAACTGCAGCCGTGGTACATTGCTGAAGGGAATGGAAAATGTCACAGCTGCCGCAGGAAACAGTTGGGCAGTTCCTCAAAAAGTTAAACACAGAATTGCTATAGGACCCAGCAATTTCACTCCTAGGCACAGACCCCAAAGAATCGAAAAACAGGAACTCAAGAACTTGGCCATGCATGTTCATAATAGTGTGAGTCACAATCGCCAAAAGATGAAAGCAAACCAAATATCCACCAACAGATGAGTGGATACCCCACACGTGATAGATCCATACAGTGGAGTATCACTTAGCCATAAAAAAGGAAGGGTGTTCTGATTCCTGCTACTACATGGATGGACCTCAAAAACATACTAAGTGGAAGAAGCCACACATGAAAGGCCACATTTCTTATAATTCCATTTATAGGAAATGTTCAGAACAGGCAAATCCATAGAGACAGAAAGCAGGGTGGTGCTTGTCAGGGGCTGGTAGGGGGCAGGGGGAGGAGGATGAGGAGTGGCTGCTAATGGGGATGGAACTTCCTTTTGGGGTGATGAGAATGTTCTGGAACTAGACAGAGGAGGTTGTTGCACAACACTGTGAATATACCAAATGCCACTGAATTGTTCATTGTTTGTTTGGGTTTTTTAAGATTTTATTTATTTATCTGACAGAGAGAGAGAGGAAGAGAGTAGGAGCAGGAGGAGGGGTAGAGGGAGAGGTAGAAGCAGACTCCCAGCTGAGCAGGGAGCCCGACATGGAGCTTGAGCCCAGGATGCCAGGATCATGACCTGAGCAGAAAGCAGACACTTAACCAACTGAGCCACCCAGGCACCCCCTGAACTGTTCATTTAAAAATGGGTTAGCTTTATGTGACGTGGATTTATCTCATTAAAAAAGGGGGAGGCCTTCTCCAACTCCTCCATCTTACACCATTTAAAACTAGGCCCCTCTGGAACGGAATGGCGGTGATGATTACACAACAATGTGAATGTATTTGATGCCACTGAACTGTACACTAAAAATGGTTGAGAAAAAAAGATGGTAAATTTTATGAGTATTTCACCATCATTAAACACAAACAAACAAGGGGCACCTGGAGGGCTTAGTCTGTTGAGCATCTGCCTTAGGCTTGGGTCATGATCCCAGGGTCCTGCATTGGGCCCCTGCTTCTCCCTCTGCCTGCAGCTCCCCCTGCTTGTGCGCGCTCTCTCTGACAAATATAGAGATAAAATCTCTTTTAAAAACTCCCCAAAAACAAAAAACAAAAACCAGGCAACTGGCTGGCTCAGTTGGTAAAGCGTCTGCCTTTGGCTCAGGTCATGATCCCAGGGTCCTGGGATTGAGCCCTGCATGGGGCTCCCTGCTCAGTGGGGAGCATATTCTCTCACTCCCTCTGTGTGCTTGCTCACTCTCTATTTCTCTCTCTCTCTCTCTCTCAAATAAATAAATAAATAAATAAAAACCCACCCACCCCACTGTGGTTCCCACCTTTCAATGCCCCTTTTACTCCTCCCTCAAGTAGCCACATCTGAAATGAATTCCAGTTTGCAGGTGTGCTTCATTATGAGGGAACCTAGGTCTCCCCTTGACTCCACGAGGGACAGGCTTTCTGACTGCCTCTTTCATTGTTGCATCCCTAGCACCAGACCAAATTACCTTTTTATATCCTCAGAGAAGTTAGGTTACTTGCTTGCCTAAGGTCACACAGCAATAAAAAACACCTTCTAATTATTAAGCAATTTCTCTTTGCCGATGCCTAATTCATTGAACCCTCAGAACTAACGCTGGGAGGCAGGTTTCTTTATCATCATCTTTTGACAGAGGAGGAGGAGAGGCTTGGGGGCGGGGTGTCAGTGACTGGTCTAGGGTCACACAACAAGGAAATGCTGAAACCTGGAATCAAGGGCTTGAGAGGGGTAGGGCTGCGGAGCAGAACTATTGGGGTCCTCTCAACCCGAGTATGCTAGGACCTGAGCGGCCACCCTCGAAAGCGTCAGTTTCCCCACGTCAGCCGGTTGTACTCACTACTTCTGGCTCTGGAGGTGCAGCGTGGAGGGTGCTCCCAGGTCCCCAAGAGCTTCCCACGAGCAGTTCAGATCGCCCAAGGGTCCAACTCCATAGCACTGCAGTGGCCCAGGGCTGTCTGGAGAGGGACGTGGGGGTGGGGGCGCGCAGGGTGTCGGAGGGAATGGGCTCAATTCCCCCATCCTGCACATCCCAGAACCTGAATTTCCCCCGACTTCTGCCAATTGTGGAGGGCGATCCGGGGGTCCCTTCCCGGCGAGAGCAGCAGGAAAGGGACTATGGATACCCCTCCCCAGTCTTTGGGCATAACTCCTCCCCTCCCTCTGCCAGCCACATCCTGTTACCACCCCTAGAGCCTCCACCCCACCCCTCGGCCTCGGGCTCCCACCTCGCGGCCGACCCCCCACCCTCGACCCCGTTCGCCAACTCGTCTCTCCGCCCGGTCCCTGCCGGGGGAGGTGCAGAGGGGCATCTGCCCCTCCGGGGTTCGTTCCGCAAACTTGCGGTGCACGCGGAGGCTCGGCGCTCTCGCGGCGATCGCGGCGGCAGGGCGCCTGACACGAGCTCGCTCCACAACTCACCCCGGGACCGAGTCCGGTGGCCCAGCAGCAACAGCAGGGGCAGCAGCACCAGCTTGGGCCGCGGCCCGAAGAGGGGGGCCCGGGGCCCCCGCATGGCGCCCCACCGCGCCCCGGAGTCCTGCCCGGCCCTGCCCGGCCCAGCGCGGCCGCGCCGTCCGCCTGGCTCTCCCGCCCCAACAGAGAGCGGCGAAGGGAAGCGTCCCTCAGCTCCCAGCCGCCTCCGCACCTTGCTCTCCGGGACCCCGCCCCTTCCCTCCGAGGCGGAAAGTCCCCCGCCGCGCGGGCTGCCGCCGCAGAAGAGGAGGGGGGACGGCCCGGGGCCTGCTGCAGGGCGCCGCCGAGCACTGCTGAGACGAGCGCGGCATCCTCCCTCCCCATAACACACACACGCACGCCGCCGCAAAGTCCTTTGGAACTTTTATTTTGGGCGTTGAAGAAGGTTCTGATCCGTCCTCTCACCCAGACTCCCACCCCAGGATGTGAAGGAACCCAGGGCTCCCACCACCAGTTCTAGGGTCTCCAGCCTGAGAACCCCAGCAGGTGGAGGGGGAGGGGGAGGAAGGCAGGGAGGAAGGAGTGGGCAAAGGCTGGGATGGAGCAGGAGCATAATTTGCTCTGGTCAGGAGACAGTGGCCACAGTTGGGGCAAGAGAATCAGTGTGGGCAAAGGTCTGGATGAGGGTAGATCGGTTGGGGTAGAGTCGGGGCACCACAGCAGCAGAGAACAGTGCAGGCCAGGCAAAGAGGTGATATGGCCTGGGGAGAGGTCAGGGGTCAGGGTCAGAGATCCCCATTTGGCCAAGTAGGTGCAGTTTGCTCAGGGTCAGGATAGGCTGGTCAAAGGTCAGGGTCATTTAGGGGTGACTGTCCAAGTGCAAGCACCTGACCTGACTTGCTGATGAATGAATGCATGAGAGGCCAGAGGTGGGTGCTCAGCTGGACCCCGGGCCCCTGGCCACCCAGGCCCTGGTCTAGCAGAGGCTGCTGATGTCACTCTTACTGCACCCCCACTTGCAGCAGCTGCTGGAGAGACCTGCCACGACATCGCGGCCACCGCGCAGAGCCCCCAGAGCTCCCTGCCAGCCAGGTTCGCTCCCATAGAAAGCCAGGGGGTTCTTGGTCCGGGCCAACCACTCGCTGGAGGCTACTGCCTCATCCCCCTCACTGTCTGTGTCGGAGTCTGCATCTGGGAAGCGGGAAGATGAAAAGAGTTAGTGCTTGGGACTCAGCTTCTGTCAAACTCACAGTCTGGCTGGCCTAGCTACTTGGATTCTTGTGATGCAGGCTCACGGCCAAAAGTTTTATTCTATTCAGGCCTGGGTTCCAGGTTTGATGGGCAAATTATTCAACCTCAACGAGCTTGCCTTTCCTCTCTTGCCATTTCTCTTCTCCTACTCTTTATTTATTGAGAGACTGATGGTTTAGAACATGTGTTTTGGGGGGCACCTGGGTGGCTCCCATAGGTTAAGCATCCAGCTCTTGATTCTGGCTCAGGTCATGATCTCAGGGTCATGGGTCAAGCCTCACTCAGTGAAGTGGGGCATCTCCTTGAGGATTCTGTCTCTCCCTCCAGGTCTGCCCCTCCCCCCCCCACTCAGGCTAGTTCTCTCTCTCTAAAATCAATAAATAAATCTAAATTAAAAAATAATAAAATGGGGCGCTTAAAAAAAAAAAGAACGTGTGTTTGGGAGCAGAGCTAAGCACCCATCCAGTCTCTCTGAGTTACAATCCTGAGCAAATGAATTTACTTCTCTGACTCTTGGTTTCCTCTGCAAAGTGGGGGTAGTAGTAACTCCTGTCTTCTAGAGTTTTATATGGAGTAGATGAGATAATTAATACCCATAGAAAAGCTTCGAACCGTGTCTGGCATATCAGAAGCACTCAAAATAGCACTGATCATTTATTGAGCACTTACTGTGTGCCAGACACTGCTTTAAAGGATTTAGTGGATTAACTCCTTTATTCCTCACAATGACAACCCCATGAGGTGGGTGCAGCTGTTATCATCCCCAATTTCCAGATGAGAACCCCGAGGCACCATCTGGTGGACTATCTTGCACAAGAAAACCCAGCTATGAAGTTGTAGGGCTGCTACTTGAACCCAGGAAGTGTGTCTTCCAGCTCCTGCCCCTTATGAAACAAGGCCCCATACCCCCCACTTGAGCCCTGACTGAGACCCCCGCCCAGTTTAGACGGTGTCCGAATCTGCTTTGGACTCAGTGTCGTCACTTAACTATCCTGGAAGATTTACAGACTGTGCCTCCTATTTTCAGATAAAAGGGGCTCGGAGAGGGTAATCAACTCGTTAGGAGAGTCACCTGCTAGGTGGCAAAATCTGGCCTTGTGTACCCCCTGCTATCTTCCTCAGAGGCTAGAAAGCACTTCAATGTGGGTTTCTAAATGGCATCCCACCTCCCACCCCCACCCCCCATCCTAGGAGTTGTGCAAGTTGTGCTCCAGAAATAGCAGCGAGTTCTGTGGTGACTAGAGGGTGTGAATGGCTTGCCTCCCCCATCCCAGCTCTGCTAACTGGCTCCCCTCACCTTTGCCCATCTTTGAGGCCTGGGCAAGTTTCCCCAGTTGCATGTAGTAGGACAGGACTCTTCTGCCCCGTCCCTGCCTCTTTGGACCATCCCGTGTTCCATCCACTGGCCACCCACCCCCTCCCCCCACACCCTCCCTTCCCAGCCTTACCTGTAGCTTCAGAGGCCAGGATGTCCGACCGTCTCCACCGGGAGCCCCCGCAGGTGAAGATGACTGCCCGGATGAATTCCCTGCCGCAGAGCTTCACCCCGTAGGGCGATGCTCGGGCCTCAGACGTCAGCCACAGCTCCCCAGCCAGCACCCACACAGTTAGCAGCAGCAGCAGCAGCGGGCGCTTGGCCATGCTGGACAGGACACCTGTGACTCTGGGGCACAGCGAGGCACTTCCCTGGGTGTCTGTGTCTCTGCTGCCTCCTGGCCCCCCATTTATACATCCTGGCTCCCCCCACCCATCATGGAGAAGGCAAGTGACCCCCTTTATCTCCTTCAGCAGAGGGGATGCAGGCATGGCCTCCCCACCTCGACCTTTCCTGTTTCCAGGACCGAGTGATAACCTTTAACCATGGATGGAGTGACGTGGTCCAGCTCACTGTCATCTTCAACAGAGAGGGCGAGAAGGTCTCAGTTCAGCAGAGACAAAATCCAGACCCCACCACACTGGAAGACAGGACACAGCCAGACATCCCACCCCCCAATAGGGCAGGACCTCCTCTATGAATAATATCAACAACGATAATGAGCATTTCCACAGTATGGGCTGTGCTGCAAGGCCAGGCAGCTCTCTAAGTATCTTATATCTACTCGATTCTCCCCATAACCTCTGATATGGTTCTCAAATTTGAGCAAGGCTCATAATCTCCTGGAGGGCTTGTTAAAACCCTATTTTAAAAGAGGGCTTTAGCCTCTTGGGCCCTATTTACAGAGCATCTGAGAATCTGCATTTGCAACACATTTCCAGTCTTTGCTGGTGCTGTGCTGGTTCAGAAACCACGCTTTTGAGAGCCACTGGACTCGGAGATTAGGACTAAGATTATTCCCATATTACAGGCAAGGAAACCGAGACACAGAGTGGTGCTAGAAGGTGCCCAGGCTCAGCTAGTAAAGGGGGTAAGGAGTGGAGATGCAGATTCCAAAAGAGCCATCTGGCTCCAGAATCCATGCCCTCTAAGGGAAAGTTTTAAGGATTAAAAAATACTATTATGGAGACAGAGTTCCAATTTTACAAGATGAAAAGAGTTCTGGAGATGGATGGTGAATGTGCTTGATGTCACTGGGTTTTAAAAAGATGGCAAATTTTATGTGTATTTCTACCACAATTAAAAAATAATAATTTGGGGGGTGCCTGGGTAGCTCAATTGTTAAGCATCTGCCTTTGGCTCAGGTCATGATCCCAGGGTCTGGGATTCGAACCCTGCATCGGGCTCCCTGCTCAGTGGGGAAGCCTGCTTCTACCTCTCCCTATGGCTTTGCTTGTGTTCCCTCTCTTGCTGTGTCTCTCTTTGTCAAATAAATAAATAAATAAAATCTTTTTAAAAAATTTAAAAAATGATAATAATAATTTTTAAATGCTTAATTAATATACATAGAGAAGCTGTGATGTGCTGGGAAACATTTACAAATGGGTTCTCCAGGCAAAAAAAAAAAAAAAAAGACCCTGATTTGTAGCAGTTGTTGATTTCTGGTCAATTTCAAGCTATCAATGGGATGTCAGTGTGGTCACCAAAGTCCTGAAAAGTTAACCATCAGTTCTCACAAGTTGGAGTCAGCTGGCTCCAGGACACCACAAGAACGTAAAATTTAAGGAATCATATAAACAGGACACCCACGATAGCATCACTCAGGTCCGGAAGTAGGAAGTTGCCAAGAGCATAGACACCCACTGCTGCGTATCCTCTCTGCTCACAACCCCGCCCTCCCCCCAGAGGTAGCTGCCATCCTGCCTTCAGTCATCACTACTTTGCTTTTCGGTAGAATTCTAACACTCACATGGGAGTGTTACCTGAGACAGATAGTTCTTTTTCTCCTTTTCTTTCCTTTTTTGATTTCCTTTTGTGTTCTAACAATTTGAACTTTTGATCAAAGTAGGACTACACCTAAGGAAAAATGCACCAATCATAAGGGGACACCTGGAAGAATTTTCACAAACCCAACAGACTTTGTAACCATGACTCGGGTCCAGAAAACATTTCTAGCCTCCCACCAAGACAGAGGAATTAATCTTGACCTTTTGGGAAGGGAGAATTTTAGAAGAATTTGTGGACATATGTTAAAAGTGTAGTAATTGAGAAATGTTTGGGATGAAACATTTTAAGGCTATGAGAAGATCCTGTTTCCCTTAATTTTATTATTTTTTAAAGATTTTTAAAAATTTATGTATTTGACACACACACACACACACACACAGAGAGATCACAAGTAGGCAGAGAGGCTGGCAACGAGAGAGGGGGAGTAGGCTCCCCGCTGAGCAGAGAGCCCGATGTGGGGCTCCATCCCAGGACCCTGGGATCATGACCTGAGCCGAAGGCAGAGGCTTTAACCCACTGAGCCACCCAGGCGCCCCTATTTTATTATTTTTTAAAGAGTTAATTTTTTTT